GTTTCTAGCTTACTAGTAGGCTAGTCTCATACAGCCAACAAACTAACACATAATATTATAACTTTCAACACACTCAAATGCAGTTTAATTTGATAGTGTGTAGAGAAAGTGAAACAGTGTTGCATTACCTCACAAGCTTCATTCGCCAAATAAGCTGAACTGTGTGAGTAATTCAGCACTTGCGGGTAGTTCGGTAGAAATAAATGTCCTTATTCCTTTATATCCACGGGACTCGCGTGTGGCGCTGATATCTGTCTCTCATTAGCAATCGAACCCTGCTTCATTCGTGATAAAAACATCAATGAAGAGTTCAGATGCAAAAGTGCTGAGTGCCACTTGAAATTTTCTTCTAGAATGATCATTTCTATCAAGCTTGTATATTTAATCTCAGTAATTTGACTTAAATGACAATTAATAGGTAATCTTTATTGCCATTTAAGTGAAATTACTGAACTTAAATATACAAGCTTGATAGAAATGATCATATAGAAGAAAATTTCAAATGGCACTCAAAGGCTTTTGCATCTAAACTCTTTGTATTCACTCATCCATAAACATTATTAGATCCATAAGCTTGACGACAAGTTCCATAATTCAACTGGAATATTGCGTCATCAACCTACGCCTTTGTTACTGTAAGAAGTTAACAACCCCTAGTGGTGAAAAAATGACATATTATATCAACAGAACTGCTTCAGTTAACAAACGATAGAAGACATTTGCAAGTTTTGTTTTCTACAATGAACTGTAAGAAAACATCAACCTCATCCAGCACTCTTTTTGTTTTCTGTCTCATAAAGTATCACACCCATTACGGTGTGAGAAACAACTGCAAACAATTCAGTGAGCGAGTGAACTGTCCGAATTAATCAAATTGACTGACCTGACCAACTAGATCAAAGGTGCATCCCAAGTTGCTTACTTATATACTATTATATATGCCATTAAATAGTGTGAGAACAAGTGTGTTCACACTGAAAATTCCAACAAGAAAAGGTACATTTATTTAACTGAAAAACTATTGGACACTTTATGCACTTAACTGTGGCACACATACCATCTTATGTACCAAAGGGGGAGGGGCAATCAGACTGATGTTGGATGACAAAATAAACTTACACACTAATACATTTATACACCAAGGCCGTGTGTCCACCAAAGAGTTTTTAGCCAGCTGAAAACGCTAGACGCTCCGCTGAAGACGCTGTGCTCTGGGTGGTTGAGAGCGTTTTTTTCCGTTGAGACGTTTCTTTGCTATGATACAGAATATCCGCAGCACAGTTTACTTGTTACTTGAACTGATTTCGTAGATAATTTGTTTCATCGTAAAAATTTATTTTTCATCCATTTTGTTCGGTCAGCTCTGCTGGTTGATGTCGTTGTACAGAAAGAATGTTGTGACAGTTGGTCGGTGTGGTTTAGTCCCGCCCCTCCTCCACTGTGATTGGACGGGTGGGTTAAAAAAAGTGACAGTGATGACGAGCACTGTGTTTTATCCAAAGTTGAACATTTTTCAACTCTCGGCGACTAGTAAAAAATGGCGGGCGCTCGGCGCTTCGGCGTGAAAAAAACGCTCAGCGCCTCATTACGCTCATGGCATTTAAAAAACGTGGCGCTCCCATTGAAAACAATTGAAAACGTACGCCAGGCGCGTGGAAAAATGATTTGGTGGACACACGGCATAAGTGTGTCAGAGGTTCAGGGTTCTAAAGCATCTTGTATAGTTTTATTTTTTCTTGATTCAAACGGAAGATGTTCCTCAGTGATTTTACATCAGGGACACGTTTGTGTGAAATTTGATTTGTGATTACATAGGAAAGAATAGAGTCTCCGGAACGGCGTTAGTGATACATTGTAGCGCTCTTCTGTGTGTGAAGACTGTGGCTGTATACGAGTCACAAGAGAGCCAATGATAACAGCGGCAACGAACACTCGGCATGATTTCAAAAACAACTCATTCCAAAGCCAGATTGCCTCTTTTTTTTAAACATACAAACAAACAAACAAACAAATGAAATAAATATAATCTAATAATTTGAATTAGGCAGAGCCAACATCCCTGGTGCGAGATGTTTCAAAGAAGTGATGGGAACAATCGAACCAGGCAAAAAATGGTGGGGACGTCCCACCTGTCCATTCGTGAATTTGGCATTATAGTTCTAATCCTACAAAGACATGAAATTAATAATTAAATATTACCTTGGAAAATGATTCTCAGATTGTTATTTGGTAATCCCCAGCTATAGGCAAGGATTTATCAATAATAATTCACTAGGGCTCATGTCCCAATAAAAAGGACTGAACTAATTGCTTTGAGGCCTGTCCTGAGCATATTAACTCTCTAATGAACAATGTCAGATTCACTATCAGTATCTTTAAAAAGCATCAATGAGCACATGCCTAAAGCAAGGGACTCTTGCTTTAAGGATATATCTATTTGTGTAACATGACAAATGTTTCAAATTTGAAATTGGCCAAAATAATCAGTACCACACACACTGTCTCTCTGATAATGCAAATCAGGCAAACATTGGAGACATTTTGGTCTGGGGGTGGTATGTATGAACTGGCATTTTTAAGGACTCAAGGGGTTAAGAGGTTGTGTGAACAATGGGCTATGGTTAGATTCACTTATTGAATGGAACTGAGGGTCATGCAATCTTGCTGTTGGGGGATGGGGCGCACTATATGTCTAAATGCCAGTCCTGATGGCTAGCTAACTCCTCCCTCTATGAATGACAGATGCCACCTTTCACCTTGTAAACTCAGAAACAGAAATTGGGCGGAACCTTGGGGAGTAATATGAAAGAGCTCCAGATTCCTTATTGAGAATAAGAACAATCCAACAGCCAATCAATGGAAAGGGAAGAGAAAACTACATTCAAAATCTCTGTCAGGACCGGTGAACGACAATGCCCATTGGGAAATGTAGGAACATGATATGTTTTGTAGTAAGGTCACCAATGTGCACTTCTGTCCCTTTTAAGTGTGTATCTGTAGCTCTAGGACAGGTCCCTCCCTAAACATGTCCTCACCTGTCTGTCTCCTGCTACTAACTCTGACATTGGGACAATGAATCGGCCAAAATTATGCCATATCTTCTTATTTGTGGGATTGCATCCAATCAGGTTTAAAGATACAGACATGCAAAACATGTTGTCAGATTGATCACTCTGCGCTGCACAGGCTAAGAAGACAGAGACATGTAATGGGTTCATATGGAAATTTTAAAGATGAGAATAAGTATTCCTCATCTTTTCACATGAGAAAATAACCGGCATTTAATTTGTCAAAAAAGGCACATGTAATGAGCAAATAAAACTACAGTGTCAGTAATCTGATTGCAACTCTTCACATTTGCCAGTAAAATTTGTGCAACAAATTGTTGGTGCAGATAAGAAACCACAGCTTAGGCTAAAGATGATATAGATCAATAGCTGAGGTTAACCGATATGCAATATGCAGGGAAATAAAAACTACTGATAATAAAATAAATAAACACACAAATAAGCAAACACAAAATAGTCTGTCATTAGTCATAAACAAAGTTAAAAACCTGTTTGAGTCGCTGAATGTACAATTTAATGAATTACTGATATCATAAAGTTTCTGTTGCGTGCTTAACATTGTAAACATTTTAAAGAGCCATGCATCCTCTGTTTGTATAGCCTATGCAGTTTAATGAATTAAAATGTGATGTGCATTTTGCTGGACTTTCACTCAATAAAGTAGCTAAATTCAAACAATTAACGGATTGTATCTTTACAATTACACCTGAATATCGCATGTTTCAATTGATATGCTAGATTCGCACTTGTTCCATAGCTAGTTATAAAGTAACCTATAAAGTAGCCTCTGTTTATAAAGTTTAGCTGAGGCGGGAGTGACTGCATGCTACAAAAGAATCGTGACGGTTACGTTTTACCTTTTTAAATATAATAACTAAAAGAAGAAACAAGCAAACATGCACTTACCGCAGACTCCGACTTCTGCACCTCTGTGCTTAACGTGAGGAACACCACTAACACCGCGCCGACACTCTTTAAGTTCATACTGATTTTCAAAGATTCTGCCCTCTTAACATTGACAGTTACAACTATGGACACTTATTAAACTTATCATATTCCTCCGTTAAGCTAACTGCAAAAACAACAAGTTTTTTTAAAAACTTACAGAGGGATTCTAGTAAATTCTCAAGGCTGTCCTGTGCTGGCAGCGCTCGCAATAATGTACCCGTCACTTTACTGAATCCCCCTTAACCTGCATACCGCACTACTTTATATTCCTCCGCCAAATATAGATCCCCACAGACAGGTTACTTGTAAAGTCATAAAAATGATGAAGAGATTCAGTTAAATGTCTTAGGGATTTCTTTATTAGATAAACAATTAATATAAACTATTTTATCCGCTGTTTTTTTTTTCTTCTTTTAAATTTATAAGGAGAGTTGGTAGGAATGTCGTGGTGGAGGACGCATAACACAAACACACACACACACACACACACATAGGCACAAATAATATAAATATTAAAATAATATGTATACATAGCCTATTCTATTATTGTATGCAGTTATTTTAAAAAAGTGGTGCAGCTATAGAGATATGACAATGAGTTTTTCATTTAAAGTTCACTTTTTACCCAATAGTTCTTTGCTGCAGTCACATTAAATAGAAGATTTATTTAAGGTGGACTAGCCTACTTTTATTTTGTAGGGAGTTAAAATTATTTTTCATTTTGCAACATATCATACGGTTATTGAAACTTACACGCATGTCTCGAGTCACTTTATTGCTCTCTGATTAATGTATCATATAATTTACATAATGTTTGTTTTATTATGTCCAGTCTTGTGCGAGACATATAGGCTATTTAATGATATTTTAGATTACACGGGTGGTAGGCTTAGGCTACGCTGTTTTACTGATAACATTTTATTTACTATAGGCTAGCTGTTTGTTTAGAGGCGAAAGCGTGAGGCATGCGGGTGACTGACGGGCGAAACCCCGCCCTCTTCTCAGAGCACAGGCACTTGCGGTGCGTGCGTGAATCTACTCTGCCGCGAGGACAGCAGAAGTTTCTTGTGAGTGAACTCTTTTTCTCAGAGGACAAACTGAAGCAAAACTTAAAAATACCTGCATAAAATACATGTAGCATGTGCAAAGTAATATTTTAATCTATCGTTTAATTGTTTATTTTTATCCCTTTTGTCCTCCGAAGTGGACGAACCGTTCACCGGATTCTCAAATGAATAGGTTTGTAGCCATTAACGGAGCCTTTTTGTGAAGACGCCGAGGATACATTACCTGCGTTTTCCTCAAAGCCTTGCAAAATGAAGCTTTGGTAAGTATATTTATATGTTATTAACTGTGAATACCAATTCAGACACTCGGTTATTAAGTAGTCAACTGTCAGTTTTAGTCATTCGAGTTAAATAAAGCACGGTTCTCGCAAACACACATGATGGATTTGTTTCTCTCACTCCACAGGAGTTTTGTGTTACCTGTTGTTTTGTATGCAGTGTCTGCACAAGCGGTAAGTGTGCTATCATTATTAAAAAACACTTCAACACTCACATGACGAATATAACTGCATTTCCCCTTGTGGTTTAGATCACTAGAAAGGATTTGATAATTTGTTTGTTATTTAAGTGAACATCTAAGTTGTTTTTAAACCAATAGCCTATACATCTAACATGTTTTCCAAACACATTTGGATGTATTTTATGACACAATCACTTAAGGTAAAACCTGTGAAGTTTTGTGTAGACTATTTGTTTGCCTTGTTAAAATAATTAGATGTCAAACGCTTACAATGGTTAGTAACACTGCGAAGTCTTTATTTAAAACAAAAATCCATGTAAAGTCTTGTTTGATTTGTGAAATGTCTCAGTTCTCACCACCAAACTGAAAAAAAAAAAACACTCCTCCTCCTAATTAATATGCAATATCCCTGTTTCGGTGCCACACCCATTTACCCCAACAGTATCCTATTGGCACTCACTATTCTAATTAGCTTCTGTTTCGGTTTTTCTTCTGTTTTGAATTGATTGTAAGCAATAATTTGGTTTCACATTTAGTGTACATTATTTATGCTGCATTTATCATCTTTTTCTCATGTTGAAGAAATAAATATGATACACATTATTTTTCGTAGCTAATTGAAATCTTTAAAGATTAGCCAAGTCATCAAATGTGGGTTGATGAGGTGCATATTTAATTGTTTCATATAAGTTGAGTGTAGAGTAATGATGAATGGTGTGTCTTGAGGACATTTGAAAGTACAGTAAGTTGATTTGGCTGTTCTGATTGTCCATAAGAGTTTATTTATCATGAACAGGCAGTGACCCTATATGGAAAATAGGAAAACGCATTTAATTTTAGCAGTTACTGGGAGCAATTGAAGTATGAGAGTATATGCATGATATCAGAGAATAGAAAATGCATAGACCTATCAAATGGCAGCATTCTGGATGGACCCAAGCAGACATGAGATAGAGAGTAGTGGCAGTACAGTCTAGCCATGAAATGATTATAGCCTGCACTAATAAACAGCTTAGCAGAGTAATAATTATTGGAGGGCTGAATCGTCCTCCTGTTTCTTGTGTAGCATGAAGCAGGAAGACGGTTGCTTCAGTGTGGTCCACAATGGTAAGTGGGTCAGCTAGGAGTCACCTAGGATTTCGTATATGAGAATAGTGGGGGGGAAATGAAGAGGTCTTGACTGTGTTGAAGAGAAGTTAATTTGTGTTAAAAAGACAAATATCAGTATGATATTTGTGATGCCTCTCTCACTCCATATATCTAGCACCTCACTTCAGATCTGTTTAAAATGTCAACTATAGAAATGTACACTTATATTTATTTTTAATAAAATAATTGAATAATTTTAATTGGCTTTTGTTTTAATGACGGACACTTCCCAGAATTCCAATACTTGTAGAATTAGTTAGAATTGCACTGTAAAAATAAAAAATATTTTCAAGATTTGTTATCACAACATATTTTCTCTTGTCAAATCAACTTTATAATAATTTATTTAGTTGAGATAACTTATTATTTCGAGTTACTGATGGTTAAATTAATCTACTTCATTGTATTAACTCACTTTTTTCAGTTCAATGAACTTAACATTTTAAGGCAACCAGGTTACTTACTTTTTAAAGTTAAACCAACAATATTTTTTTACAGTGCAGTAATCACAACATTTTTTCTTTTGTCAAATCAACTTAAATAATTTATTTAGTTCAGATAACATATAATTTTGAGTTTCTGATGGTTAAATTAATCTCCTTCATTGTATTACTGTAACTCACTTTTTCCAGTTCAATGAACTTAACATTTTAAGGCAACCAGGTTACTTACTTTTTTAAGTTAAACCATCAATATTTTTTTACAGTGTGTAAATCAGTAAATTCCACTTTCTGTTGTTTTCGGTTAGAGCTGCACATCTCTGAATAAACTAAGAATCGCATTCCATTGATTCAATGACTAATACATTTTTAGCAGTGACTTGTCAGCACCTACTGGTGTAACAAATTGACACAATCCTTATTTGAAGCGTCAAGTTACTTTCATGGGTTACTTTCAATGGGTGATTTACTCTATTTTTATAGCTACCGTAGACATTAGTGTTTATATCTGAACTATAAACTTTTATTCCAGTACTTCTGTTATAATTTGAATTATTGTAACACAGACAGTGATACTGTGCGGTTGAAAAGACTGTGTCATAACTGACAGCTTTCTCTGGGTCCGCGACAGCGCCTACATAAATCTGAATGTTCACTGTGATCGTACTGTCAAACGTTTAATAGACATAGCCAAATCTTTGTCATTTTTGAAAAAGTTGCTGATTTTTTTTTTCTCAATAAGAAGATTGCGTGGGTGTTTGAAACAAGATTACGATCTTTTAACGGTCAATCATGCAGAAGATCACATGTGGTCACAGGAGATGGAGATGTCACATGTGGTCACAGGAGATGGAGATGAAGTACTTGTTAATACTAAAGAGGGTTAGAGTGGTAAGCAAAAATAATTTGTATTTGCTGGTTCAATTGGCTGGAGTGACGCATAATTGATTGTAATTAGTACTCAAATGAGAAACTGTGGATTGAGATGACACTGACTACGTTTACATGCAGCCAATTTTCGAGTTATGGTTGGGTTAAGGCCACTATTCGGGTTTCTGAAACATTAGGAATAACCCGTTTACATGCGTGAGTAGAAAGAGTTTCTCCTGTATACATGGAATTGCAATATCCTGATGTAAACGGCGACGCGCGGTTAGCGTCTAGACGTACGGACAACCTTAAGACGCAATATGTTTGCATTTCCGATTCTTCTTCCTGTAAAGGAAGCAGCATTAAGCAATTAGCAATCAGTCACTCAAGACTGGTCACTTGTCTTTTGCCTGTTTATCAGTTTCTCTGTTGTTGGCTAAGCGTCCTAATTGAGCGATGTAAACGAATTAATAATGAAATAAAATAAATATTAATCATCTTCCCTAACGCAGTTGCTATTTACATCTCATATCATCTGTAAGGATCACCAAGGCAACGACTGTTTGTAATTACAACATTTGTAATACATTCCAACAAGCTCTGTTATTAACCCCACAGTGCATGGAATGGAACGATTAAAGGGATAGTTCACTCAAAAATGAAAATGATCCCATGATTTACTCACCCTCAAGCCATCCTAGGTGTATATGGCTTTCTTCTTTTTGGACGAATACACTCTAAAAAATGCTGGGTTGTTTTAACCCAATTTTGGGTAAAATATGGACAAACCCAGCCATTGGGTTAAAAATGTAATTTAAAAATGTAACCCAATGGTTGGGTTTGTCCATATTTTACCCAAAATTGGGTTAAAACAACCCAGCATTTTTTAGAGTGTACAATCGGAGTTATATTAAAAAATATCCAGGCTGTTCCAAGCATTATAATTTGAGTGAATTGTAACTTTGATTTAGAACAAAAAAAAAAAGTGCATCCATCCATCTCAGTAATCTATACGGCTTCAGGGGGTTTATAAAGGCCGTCTACAGTGAAGCAATATGATTTTGTAAGAAAACTTTATAAACTATAATCACTGGCTTCCGGTAACGGCTGTATGCAAGTCTAGTTCCGGCGGGAGAGAGTGACCTCTGACCCGACGCTTGACGTAGGATGTGGGAGTAGTGTAAGCTTAGGTAAGACGCCTCTTGTGGTTCAAAACAAACAGGATGGGTCAACAAACTCAAGCTCCTCTGACATTTTCTCTTTAAAAATTATCTCTAAAAGATTCTCTCCAATTCGTGACCTGTGTTTAGTTTTGCTCTGTTCGCTGGAACCAGACTCGTGGACGGAAACTAGTGATTATACTATAGTTTTATTATAAAATGGATAATTCCGGTCCTTGATTCTGGTTGGTTGAGCCGCATTTGAAGCCGTTATAAATTACTCAACAAACATACACCTGTGACCGCATTACATTAGTATTACTGCACAACTGCCATTTATGATTCTTTGTTGCTGCATGTGTTGCTCCGCTTCGTGTCGTGCCTAACAATGCCCCTTAAATGTTAAACACGGCTTTGCGGTGCTTATTGCTTTATGAAGTTACTATAGTTATTATAAATTACATACAGTGGGGAGAACAAGTATTTGATACACTGCCGATTTTGCTGGTTTCGCTACTCACAAAGCATGGAAATGTCTGTAATTTTGATCATAGTTACTTTTCAACTGTGAGTGACAGAATCTAAACCAGGTTGTGCAGGTCTACAATTTTATCCCTGATGTCCTTACACAGCTCTCTGGTCTTGTCCATTGCGGAAAAGTTGGAGTCTGTTTGATTGAGTGTGTGGACAAATGTCTTTCATACAGGTAACGGGTTCAAACAGGTGCAGTTAATAAAGGAGTCATACAATGTGAATTTCTGGATTTTTAGATTCACTCACAGATGAAGAGTACCTATGATAAAAATTACAGACTTCTACATGCTTTATAAGAGGGAAAACCTGCAAAATCAGCAGTATATCCAATACCTGTTCTCCCCACTGTATGGATATTTTTCTTCCAAAAACGCATCGCTTCTCTTCAGAAGGTTTTTATTAACCCCCTGGAGCTGTATACTGTTGATTACTGTTATGATGGATGGATGCGCATTTTTAGATCTTCCAAAACTTAATTACTATTCACTCCCGTTGTGAAGCTTGGAATAAAAAACTCTGATTGTGTTTGGCTGAAAGACGAATGTCATATACACCTATGGCTTGAGGGTGAGTAAATTATGGGATAATTTTCATTTTTGAGGGAACTATCCCTTTATGGAAAGATAACGGTTTAGCCCGAAGGTGGAAAAGCAGCTGTGTTCAGTGACACAATTTTCTTTAAACTTCTCTTAATGTAGACGTCTCTTTAACTTTAGACTTTTTAGAGGTGTGCTTGTAGAGGTTCAGACCTCCAACATCATTGAGAAGAGGTCATTAAGAATTATAAGTTCTTAAGAGTCTTTGATGGGGTCAATATAGAGGTCAGGGTCTTAGGTGAA